AGGTTATCTCCACAGCGAGCGTGATCCCGTTTTTGCTTCCGATCCCGAGCAAATACCGAGCATACCAAGCAAGTACCGAGCAAATATACCGAGCAATACCGAGCAAATACCGAGTAGTACCTAGCAATACCGAGCAAATACCACGCATATTCGTTCTGGGTTGGATCGTCGGGCCGCGCGGTAAAGAGTAAAAGCACGTGGCGATATATTATAGGCTACCTGATGTATCTCTACGTCAGGTAACCTGACGCAATAAAATTCCCTTGATTTGGCCTTTGCATTTTCTCTTTTTTCTTGAAAGAAAAATAATACTTCATTACCATCTAACTTTTAATCTACTTAAAATACTAAAAAAAAAATTTGAAGCATGACTCAATAGAGATTTGATATGGATAAAGGTCATTTTTTAATGATTGGTGACAAACCAAAAAATTCATTTTAGAAGTGTTTAAGGAAAGTCCAGGGTGTCAATTTCGAGTCATAGTTCAGGTTCGGGTTGATTCGGGTCGAACCTGAAACTGAACATACACTATTCAGGTCAACTCGAACCTGACCCATTTTGAAAATGGGTTAGTTTTTCGGACCTGAATTATCCGTTGTCAACAAGAAAATTGCTAGTTTTTTAGTCCAAAAAATGGGACAATATTTGTTTTTCGGGTCAAAATGGGTCAATCTCGGGTTACCTGGTCAAAACGGGTCAATTTCAAGTCAAAGGGTCAACCTTAACCTGACCAGATTTTTGAAACGAGTTGAAATGTTGAACCCGTCCTGTTTCGGGTTCGGGTTAGGTTCGAGTCAAATTTTTGAGTCGTACGTGTCAAATATTGACACCCCTAGAAAAGGCTAACAATGGGTCTTACGATCTTGGTCTATCAGTAAGACGACTCGATGCATGTTAGTTTGTTTATCATTATCATTTTGAGAAATTGTGTACACTTATTATGCCGAAGGGACAAGTTTATGAGTTGACTCATCAATAAAGTTTAATTGTTGATATATAGGTTCCACACTCTTTGCTCCACCATAAGGTGTCAAAGGATCAAATTTTAAATTTTAAAAATAATTTTTTAAAATAATTAAGCATGCGGTTCATTTTCATCATTTTGCATGACAATTATGAAAAATAATTGTTCTTTTACATGAGATATGTTTAAAAATTTATTAGTTTTAGGATTTATTTGGGACAACACTTTAACTATTTTGTTTTTCTGATGCCAATTACATTTTTTTTTTGCTACTGCATTTTACTACTTACTACTTTCCAAAATTTATGTGGTGAAAAGCCATTTTCTTCAACGATAATAGCGAAGTTGTTTTTTTCATTGCAACATCACAACTAACTAATAAAACACTGCAATCATTCCAAACATACTCTTAGTTTAAAAGAAATTCTAAATACATCTCAATGTTTTGAAGATATTTTATATATTTTTATAAAAAAATCATAAATTACTTGGAATTTTTAATTTACAAATATTTTCGTGAATAAGAATGGGCAGTACGAGGTTAGAGATATATTTTTTTTTGTAATTTTGGCTCTTCTTGGTTTGTTGATTGGGTGTTTGGCTCCCAACTAACAAGTCCTGGGTATGATGGGGCAAGGTAGAACCTACTGTTAGAGACCCTTTCTTGAAGTTGAGATGATGTGTATGGTTGATGATGTTCCATCATGGATAATGGTGAGTAGTTTTAGTGGGTGATTCATGTTAGAGGGCGAGTGACGAGTTGTGGTTCATGTGGGTAGTTCGTCTTTCTTGTGGGAGGCGACTCTCCTCTAACTATTCTACGAAACTAAAGCTTGGTGATTGACAGGCAAGTTCTCTTTTTGGCGTGCACATGATACGAGCTCACTTGTTATAATCCGTCAACTGCCTATTGACTATCTGAAAAGATACATAAGAGGATGCAACTTCCACCGATAAAAGTCTTTAAAAAAATCATAATCTAATCTTTTTTATTCTTAAATAACTGAATTATATCAAAATCTATAAATTACTCTAAAACCTAATTTCTCAATAATTATAAGTCTCGCCTACATCAGCTAGTTAATACAAATAATTAAAAAATATTGCAAATATTCTAAATTTAAATCTCATTTACAGTAAATTTACATTTTTATATTCAACTTTCCAATAATTTCACATCTCCCGCTTACATAAATAGATAGATTTTCTCGCAATAACTACTATGTACTGCGTAATCGCGTTAACTCTGATTCATTTAATTCCTGACAGAAAAATCTCTCCCACGCGACAGTTTTATCCTGCAAATCAACTCAGCATACCAATTCATTACGTGAAGGCCGCACATCGCACTGTTTATCATCACACGCCGATAACCATTAGTGCCCAAAACCAACGGTCAAATGCATCGAGAAGGGTAATTAGAAACTGGAAGGGAACTGAACTCGCTAATTAAATTCTCTTAACAGTACAATTAAGATTAAGGTTACGCTAATTACGGTTGTTGTCCGGTCAAACAGGTGACCAAACGACTCCTAGCTGGCCAGCGAAGACCGGCGACATTTTCTCTCTCTACCCTAAGCCTTGGGATTCGGTACTGCGAGCGTGTCGGAACTTGCGAGGACGATGCGTTCCCACTCGCTTATCTTACCGTGGGCGACTTTATCCCAGACTCGGTCCGGCTTTCTCTTTCTATCTCATCTTCACCGTCTCTCTCCTTGTCCTCTCAACGGTCTTTATTTTGAGCATGTACACTTGTCTTTTCTGTATCTGTCAGCCTGCTGACCCCCCCTCCAAGTTGATTGATCTTGCGCCAACTAATATGCTTCATGTCATAAATTTGTATATAGTATTTTAAAATGGAAATCGATGATGTTAGCTTATGAAAAAATTAGGAGAATAATGTCATATATATATATATATATATATATATATATATTTGCTTCACATTAATATTTATGATTTTATTTTAATTTTGTATATATTAGCATCATATATATATTCATAAATTTCATTTAATATTGTTGTGAGCTAGAATATACATGGCGATAGAGTTAGAATTTTTCGTCTTAGCAATGTACAGATGTCCAACACACTAACAGAAGGAAAAGGAAACACCAAGATTTTTATGTAGAAAATTTTGGAAAGGGGAAAAATACCGGGGTCACGTCTAGTTGAAATGATTAAACTTGTGTTTGAATAAATTACAGGTGATTGATACATTCTTGAAGTTGAGGACGATCAGATTACAATGGTCAACTGATAGTTTGAAATCTAGTTACGAACTGAGGCCAGATAGGAGTCCGGCGTAAGTCTGTGACAAGGCAGAAATCCAACGTTAGTCGGCGACCGAGTAGAAATCCGGCATCGGTCGGAAGTCTGGCATCATTCGAAAATCGAGCGGAAGTCTGGTTTCCGTCGGTGGCCGAGCGGAAGTCCAAAAATAGTTGGTGGTCGAATGGAAGTCCAGTGGAGGTCGAAGAGGAGTCTAATGGCAAGATAACTCTCTTCCTTCTCTTCCTTGCTTTGGTCCCCTTCCAAGTAAAATGATTGGTCTATTTATAATTTTCTGAGAGTGGAATAATCAATAAACAAAAGGAAGATCAAGAATAAGTTGGGAGTGATTTGAATGGCGGTCGATATTGATTCTCATGATCATGATCGTTTATTGGATATTTGAATGTCTTAATGATATAAGAATTCAACAATCTTAGGCTCATTGGATTTGTCTCATTGAGCCGCTCGATACGATTATAAGAATTTTACATTTAGGGTTTGTTTGATAATCCAAATTATGGTTTGAACCTACCAAAGGCACTTCGGGTCATCGATTTGGACCCATTTGGGCTCGGATTGAGTCAATTTGGACCCATATCAATTAATTCTTCTTGATCAAAATCTCACCTTTCAAAGAAGTTTGCATATCATTTCTTCTAAGAAAATTCTCCTAAAACTCTAGATTGCTCGAAACCTATCATAGATTGCATGTTAGAGCATTGCTTGGTGACTTTAACCTATGATGAATTGATCCTTTATTAGGATGTGATAGTGTTAAATATTTCTTGAATTAAGCATAAAAATTATATAATTTTAATTATTAACACCCTTTCAATGTCAAAGTATAAGTTCATCTGAGGGCTATTTATGAAATTGAGATTTGCTCAAATATTTCTTATATGTATTTTCATATATATAGAAAGCCTTAAAAAATAAATGCATGCAATATCGCCTTAAATACATAAAAATATGATAAAGTGAACCACTTTCCCAATTATAAAATACCCATGATGTCAACGAGAACATCCTTAGAAGTTATAGCTAGGGTTACCCTTAATCTTAACTTTATTTCTATTAAATTGATACCTCAATGAATGGTACAAAGGAGGAGTTTCTTAAATATATCAATGATTGTCATTAATGTGAACATTATTTTGAGGTTGTAATCATATTGACTTGTTACTCTTAACTTGCTTCTTGAAAAATTGATACATTAATTAGAGATAAAAAAAATTACCATATAATCATACCCTAAATGTTCTTTTGAGGCTATATCTAAGGTTTGCCCCTAGTATTGACTTGTTTCCCATTGAATTTATACATCGATAAATGGATGAGGGATTATCTAGCTATAATTCATCCCTAGCATGTTGATATGACCATCCTTTTCAGGTTATAACTAAAGTTACCCCTAGGATTGAATTGCTTCCCATAGAATTAACATACTAATACATGGTAAACATATTACCTAGCTATAATTATGTTTAGGACATTGATGTGAATGCCTTTTAGAGGTTATGTTCACAATTATCCACTAGCCTATAGTTTTTTTTTTTGGTTAAAACCCACCGACGGGCTTACGCGTTAATATAGAAAAAGATTACAGAGTCCTTAAAGGGACCTCCAGTTCCCTATTGCTCATACGAGCTACAAACAAAAAGAAAAAGAAACCTACGAGCCGGAGTTCCCTACTAGCCAAAATTACACAATAAACTAATAACATTCTAAGAAACAAAAAACAAAGGGAAATGAAAAGCACAATCAGCATATCCCACCTACTAGAACGAGTATCCTGCACAAAATGAGCGCGGAGCTCCAAAAACCTGCAAAAGAGGCATGCAAAGATACTAGGAAAGGATTGAAGCAAACAAGGAAAGCTAGTAAACAAAATTAAACAAGGATAGGAAAGCCAACTCCCCGAAAAACCAATGTTCCAAGAGAGAAGAACAGCATCAAAAAACGCAGCACCAAACAAACACAGCCGGACCACAAACACCAGCTCCACAGCAGCTGAAACAACCACCAGAAACTAACCAAATGCCAGCCGGGGAGACCCCAGCAAAAAGGGAAAGGAAAGGAACAACCTCCAACCAGCCACCAGAACCCAAATAAAAGAGACCATGAAGCAAACACCAACCAGCAACCACAACCCATAAAACCCAACACACCCCACCCAGGAACAACCAGAACCATCAGAACACCAAAAACCACAACCAGAAGAGCAACACACCCAAAACAGAGCACCAACCCAGAGAACAAGAACTTACCGCTCAACAACGTAAGGCACACCACTCCTATCCAAATTAATCAAACCTTTAATCTGAACAGTGAGATTATTAAAAGATAACTCAGTAATATCATGGAACATACCGCCAAACAACGCTAACCTCCTAGCAGCAGAATTGACAACAGGGCAAACATTACTAAAATGGCAATTCCTTGACGATCTCAATAGCCTATAGTTATTTTTCATTGACGATCTCAATTTATTAATTTCTAGAATATTATTAATGGCAAATGAGATTTTGTTTAAAATTAGTATTATACTAAAATTTCGTTCACCTAAAAATATGATGAGTTGAGAGTAACCCATAAGGTACATGATATTTATATTATGAAAAATCCAAAGCGGAAGAATAAGTATGAGGCTTTATCTAATTGAAATAATTTTATTAATTTAAGTTATAAGTTATAATAAATGTCATTCCTCATAATTACAGAAGACATTAATATAATGTTTTAGCATGAAGTATAAAAAATAAGATTTTATGGTTGAAGTAGGATGTGCTTTGTGGCCTTAGAAATACTATTAAGCATTGTTTAACGTATACTATAAAGTTCTCTTTATATGAAAGGTGACTTGCAACCAGATAGGTGGGCACTAATCCTAGTAGAGATAGTATGCATCCATGATGGTGCTTGTAGTGAGCATCAAAATTAGCGTCACTGATTACTGTTAATCTTCATGTCAATGATAATTGTTAATCTTCATCGAAATTAGCATATTGATGATGGAAATTGGCTTTAGTGTAGTGGTAGAAGTCAACTTTGGAGGTGACAATGAGTGTTAGTCGTAGAGATATATATGGTGGGTGTCGAATTTGGTGGCAATGGTGGGCTTCACTATTGTTGGATAATACAGAAAAATTGTCAATTATCGTCGGCATTTAGTTGTCATCTTTGGCAACGATAGTAAGCATTGAGCTTGACAATGACGCAATGTATTATCATTATTATTGATGATGATTTTCTACCTTATTGTTAATGGTAGGTATCAATATTATTAACATTAATGGGTTTCAACATTGGTAATGAAAATAATTATCAATAGTATTATTTATAAAAAAATCTTGGAAATTATAATATTGTAAATGTATAAATGATGTCAACATTTTATAATATATGGCTTGTTAAATTTATTTCATTAAGATGCACATTTTGATCATATGTTTGCTAAAAATAGAGTTTTGATGGTCATAGAATCAAATATGAAAGTTCTTTTTTTTTTTAAAATTCAAATAATTCTGTCAAGCTACATGCTTGATTGAATGGATTTTTCAATGACTTATTAATGCTTTAACATTGCTTTTATTAAAAAAAAAAACACAAATATTTTTAGTTCGGATATGCCTAATTAAGAAGTAAAAATTCCATCAGTCAAGATAAAATTTTTAAGCAAAATATCATATTTCAAAGCATAAAAAAAGGGAAAAAAATTTATAAACATTGAGGCTCATTTTAGTTTAATGATTAGAATTTTATTAAAAAAACTCCGCAGTTAAGCGTGTTCATCCCAGATAAATCCTTGGATGGGTGGCCTCCCTGGAGGTTATGCCAACAAGATAAAACTATGAGGCCATTGAGCTAAAGCAAATAATATCTTGATAGTTAAAAGTTTAAATTGTTACAAATGGTATCAGAGCAATATATCAGCTATAAGATAGAAACTAAGTACTATATAAAATAAAGTATATGCCATGAGAGCCATCTCTTTAACCCTATATAGGACAAAGTGCTGCATGGTGGGAGACACCACTTGAACTTGTAGGAGCAGCCTATAGAATCATATATATCTAGTAAATGATTCTAAGATAAAGATACTGATAAGGACATCACTCAAGTGAGAGAGATTATGAAACGCCTTAAATAAAAGGAAGCTAAACTCTTAATCATTAAGGTATTTTTTGGTGTAATGGTAAACAATTTATTAAGAATCTCCACAGTTAAGCATGTTCATCCCAAAAAATTCTATGATAAATGACCTCTTAGGAAGTTATACCAACATGACAAAATTATGAGACCCACAGGCTAAAGTGGATAATATCTCAATAGCTAAGAATTTAGACTATTACAAATAGTATCAGAGCAATACACTAACTTGAATATATATATGAACTAAGTATCATATAAGATAAAGTGTTATGCCATAGGAGCCACCTCTTGAACCCTGTATGGGACAAATTACCAAGTGGTTGGAGTAGCCACTTAAACTTGCAGGTGCCACATCTAGAATCCTATATGTTTGGTGGATGATTAGGGGATAAAGACATTAACGAAGATGTCAATTACTTGATGGTAATGAATGATTTAGAAGAAATCATTACATAAGGAAAAATTCACTTAAAGACAATATATATATATATATATGATTTCTCCTAAAGCTTTTCAACACTCCTACTGTCTTGCTTCATCCAACCCAAACGCACTGCAGCAATTCCGCTGCTAAATGGAACATATCAGAGTATTTCACTATCCTCTCGCTGCTCTTATTTACCAAAATGTATCATGGCTCAATTTGGAATTGGCCCTAAGACTTATAATTATGTTAGTAGGTGGCTTTTAAAACCTTCCAGCTTTTTGTATATCATTGTAAGGCATTGGGGCATCACAAAACTGAATGTCTTCTTTTACACCCCCCATTTGAAGAAATCTAGTGATTGAAAATTCAATTCGGTGAATGTTGAAATGAACCATTATTGTAGGGAGATTTTGATAATGTGCCTTTGAATGATCATATATTGTGTTGGATAATTAAATTTAGAAATTGATTATTTGTGTCCTAATTAAATCGCTGGCTGAAGGTGAGTGTCTTAAAAAATATGCGGACTCTCCTCTAATCGATCACTCCTTCCATTTCTATTTCTCTCATATGCTGGAAAGTGAAGGTAATAAATTCTATAAGTTTTGATCCTCTTTCTTGATAATTTTGTTAAGCATTATTGTCTCATCCATTGATACTACTAGTCGGTCGAGCTGGTTATGATATTGTGGGTAATATCATGGCTTTAATCTCTAATCTTGCTAATGATTCTAATCTTGTTACTGATGGGTTAGATGTCTTTAATAGCACCCTTATTATTGATTTATTTATTTCTCTGATGCTGATGTTGATGTATTAACTGGAGCTTGTCCCTGTTGATCACTGATTGGATTGAGGATTTATCAAGCTATGAGGATTCTCTATATAGGGTGTTCTAATGTGTCTTTAGATGATTTTGGCTTAAATGTGTTGAAAATTGATAGATATGGTTTCTCGATATATGGTTGGCTGGGAAGAAAAATAAAGAAGGAAAAAGTGCAAAATATTGAGCTTAATTTTCAAAAATGTTGTTGGTTGCTTCACTAGATCCAAATTCTGTTGTTTAGTTGGTTGTCTGTGTGTTTTAGCTTATTGCGGTGGTTGGTGGGGGCTTTTTCTCTGTCTTTTGGGTGGGGTTGTTCTCTGTTGTTTGTTTTGGGCCTAGGGATTATGTATTTTCACACTATGTTTGTCTTTTTTGGAGTGGTTTCTTCTATAGTTTTGTTATTTTTCTTGCCTTCCTTATTTATATCCTAGTCTTTTTCAGGTTGGATTTGTTTGTGATGTTTCTTTTAGTTGGTCGCCTATTTGCTAGAAGATAATTACCTTAAGATGCTAGGAGTGCAAGCCATATATGTCATGACATATTGATCAATCCCTTAGCTTTTATTACAATATTGTTCTATATGCCTAATATGAGGCTTAACCATTAACCATAATAATTAAGTATATATATAAATTTATAATAATTAGATGAGTTGAATAATCTATCTATATCTATAGATATAAAACATTATCCTAACTTGATATGCAATGCAATACAATGCCAAAGTAAATGGAATTGTTAAGGGAATATAATGTTATAGAACTAATTAAATTTAAGTTAACTCAATAAGTTGACTTGATTCAACCAGTGATCATCCACACAAATGTGTGCTTGTGTTCTAAATTAGATTCTTATTTTATCAATCAAAATTAATGAAATCAATTCTAGGAAATATTTAAGATTTTTATATTTTTAAAATATTTTTATTTTTATTATTTTAAAGGTAAAAATACTTAAAAATTAGGTTTGGTTGATCCTTGCTAGGTGACTAATCATTCTAGGATGAGCCATTAGTAAACTTTAGTTCAATGGATTTTAAAAATAGAATTAAATAATAATGAATTTAATTATAACTAATTTGCATAAATAATTCTAATTAAAAATATTTAAAATAGAGATTATTTCTAAATATAGTCCCGAACTTAATTAATATTAGAATTGAGTTTTTCTAATTGCAAAATAAGATTAACATAAATAAGGTTCATACATATTTTCTTTAATTGATTGGAATATTAATTGATAAAAACATGTTTATTAATTAAAATAAATTAAAATCTCATCAATTTCTATTCAAAATGAGAGCATTAAAATTCAAATTATATTTAATTTATGTCACATCCATGCAAAATATTATTAAAAATTTGTAAGCTCATTAATTATTTTTAATAATTAAAATAAATGTTATAATAATTATCAAAAACAAGAAATGCACTGAAATTAATCAAATACTTAGAAAATTGGTAATAACATTTTGGACATTTTTAAAATCAAGATAGAAGCAAATAATGATGGGATAAATAATTATTAATAAAATTTCATAATTAGTTATTAAATTATGATTAGTTGTGAGCGATAAAATTGAAAAATTAAGAGTTTATATGTTCACATAGAGTGCCTAAGGTGATCAACAAGCTCTTAAAATAAAGTTAACACAAACAAATTTCACATTTTTAAAAGATAAATAACATTTTAATAATTAATATGAAAATTAAAAGTTATTATGGAATATAATTAGCATGTAAAAAATTTATATGCAATTTGATGGAAATAAAAAATATATATTTTCTTACCTTAAAAAATTCAAGTCACTGATATTTTCATTCAATAATAGAACTTGAAGTGATTGATAAGCTAAAAAAAATCAAAATATTCATATTTTCTTAGAACATTAACTATTTAAAAAAAATAGAATAGAAAAAGAAATAATTATTAAAAGAATTTACAGTATCGTTCATTAGAGATCAAACAGCTTGGGGACATTGTCCTCAAGGCCTCCTATTTATCTAAGCTTGAAAAATAAGAGCCTATAACTCCTCCTATAGTCCATAAAATATATTGATTTTAAAATGATTGATCTATAAGAAAGAGCTACTTATCCGTGGAAATTCTAAATATACTTTTTTTAAATGTCCAGTATATGAGTAAATCAAATAAACAAATCAGCTAAATTCAATATATTTTAAATATATTTTATATAAATTTTCGTTAAATGAGACATCAACTCTAGCTCGAATTTAGCTCATTGCACTCAGCTCACGAATCATTTTAGTCAAATCTGAAGTAGTCATAAGTCCATTTATCTAAGATTTTATTTGAGACATCTTTAATATAACTTTTAATTAAAAAAATTACACTCAGGGCGAACCTTGGTAGTCGGGGCAATTGCCCCGCCACCCCCTCAATTTTTTTTTAAAATTGGAATTTTAATTTTTTTAGGTAATTTATTTCTTTTCATTCATTTTTTAGTCTTTACTACAAGGGTTTTTAGCGAAAAATTTAAAATACTATGGTCTTTAGGTAGTTGCCCCCAACAAATAGTAAAGAGAATTCATCATTGAATTCAAAAAATATTCTTCGAACCAAAATTTGTTCCGGGGACACTGCCCCCGGAAAACCCGGTAGGGGCACTGCTCCTTGACCCCGCGACCTGACCGGAGCTAGTCGAGCCCCGCCAGGGGGCGCTGTCCCCTTGGACCACCCGACATATATGCCTTATAAGTTTGTCCCCCTAAAAATTTGGACTGATTTCCCCCTGGTTACACTCATATCCTATCCTATAGCATACTAATTTTTAATTATTTATTCTCCTTAATTGTCTTTGTATATATATATATATATACAAAATAGAAAAGAATAAAGGGTAAAATTGGTGAGGCAAAATTCAGAGTTGCCAAGGGACGATCGGACCTGTATTCTGAGTTCCTCAAACTCACCCCTTTTCTACTACCTGCTTGTCAGAAACCCCACTCGGTAAAAAAACTTCAGCTCCCATATTCCTCCACCGCCTACCAAAACAAGTACTAGCAATCAGAGACACACCCACTTTGAAACAAGAGAAATAGACCCATTTATACGACCCTTCAAACCCTCTGAAATAATACCCCCTTATCCTTCCTATTGCACTTCATCTCATCTCTCCCTCCTGTGCTCTTCTCGATCTCCTTCCCTTGCACAACTCCATGATCGATCTCATCTCTTCTCTTCAGAAAGTAAAAGATTTCAGAAGATCACCCACGTATTTATATAGCCAGGTATTGCTCCTTATTCCCAGATCTGATCCCTTAGCAAGCTTTAGCTGGAAGAAGTCCCAAAGCTTGATTCAGAAAGTCGAGCTTCAGATAGATTTCTTGATTAGCAATCCTTTTTTTTCACAGAGCTTTTCATGTTTTTACAGCCGCTAAATCCTTCTCCTTCTATTTTCTTCAAAGAGAGAAAAAGAGAGGTAGGTAGATAGATAGAGATAGATGGTTATATAGAGAGATAGAGAAAGAGAGAGAAAGACAGAGACTTGGCTCGGAAGCTGTGAACTTTTTCTTACTCGAGTTAAGAAGAGAAGAGTAGAAGCTGGCGAACCGTTGGTGGGCGGGGAGCGCAGCGGTGGGAGGAGTAGACCCGGTGGTCTCCTCTTCCCCCGCAGCCGCCGCCACTTCCGGCGCAACAATCCCTTCTCTCCACCTCCGCAACCCCCTTCCCGACCACCACCACCATCACCATCTCCTCGCCGCCGCAGACGACTCCAACCCCACCAACAGTAGCGGCAGCAATACCAACAACGACGACCCTGCTGACGACCTCTCCGCCGGCACGACCACGCCAGGTGAAAACACTCCAGCTTCCGCCTCCGGCCGTCGGCCTCGAGGCCGTCCCCCTGGTTCCAAAAATAAGCCAAAGCCCCCCATCATAATCACCCGCGACAGCCCCAACGCCCTCCGTTCTCACGTCCTCGAGATCGCGTCCGGTGCTGACATAATGGACGCCGTTAACACCTTCGCTCGCCGCCGTCAGCGAGGTGTCACTGTTCTCAGCGGTAGCGGCGTCGTTGCTAACGTCACCATCCGTCAGCCAGCCGCTCCTCCCGGCGCCGTCGTCTCTCTCCACGGCCGCTTCGAGATCCTTTCCCTCTCCGGCGCATTTCTCCCAGCGCCGTCACCTCCAGGCGCCACCGGTCTCACCGTTTACCTCGCCGGTGGTCAGGGTCAGGTTGTTGGGGGCACCGTCGTGGGTGAGCTCATCGCTGCCGGTCCGGTGATGGTCATCGCCGCCACCTTCTCCAACGCGACTTACGAGCGTCTGCCACTCGAAGAAGAAGAGCAACCGCCTCCTTCCGCCGGTCCACCCGATGCGTCAGCGGCAGCTGGTATGGGTGAGGGAGGGGAGCAGTTCGGGGCGGAAGGGTCGGCGATGCCGCTCTATAATCTACCGCCTAATCTGATGCCGAACGGACAACTGCCACACGATGTGTTCGCCGCTGCTTGGGCTCCTCGGCCGCCACCAAGCTACTAATCAAGAAGTGATTTTTCTCATCTTTCTTATCTTGGAAAGGAAAAAGGAAAGTGATTGTTTTCTTTTTCTTTTCCATTTTTTTCCCGTTTAAACTTTTTTCCTCTTCGAATTTCGCATGGTTAGTTCGTTCATGTTTTTTGTGCATTAAAACTTAGGCTTTTGTGTTTAATTTAGAGATGTTTCTCTTATATGAATCTTTCTCTCTTTTTTTTTTCCCCCAAGTTTGTGTTATGAAGATTGAAATTGGTTTCTTTTTGCTTTCTGGATAAAACTTTCTTCGTTGTTCGCACCTGTATCTGGAACTGTGGGAATACTGTTTGATGTTAACTTTTGCTTATCGCATGCTATTTGCTTTTTTTTTTATTTTCACAGTAGATAAATAAAGTCTTGTCTTAATAAATGATCGTATTAAAGAATGCCATGACCATATAAGTATTCGAGCTTGAAATGTTTAGGGGCGGTAGCCGATAGGTAAGTAGAGGGTTTCAGCTTGATGAGGTGGTGGATGTGAACTGGTTTGGTACTTAACATTCATCAGAGAGGAGGATTGTGGTGATCAGAAGCTGTCGCAGTTCTCTGTACTTCATTTGGTAATGTAGGATGGATAGGTTTATGAAGGGGGTGGCAGTTGGTAGACATTTATCAAATAGAATATTATGGTGGTTGTTTTGTCCTGTTTGATGCCATTAAAAACACTTTGCTTGTTGGGTTTTGCATTCATTTGTGGTTGGGGGGAGAAATCTTTATGATAAAGAGTTGTTGCATTTATTAATTTTAAGATCATGAAGAGAAATGATTATGGTAGAGAGAGGTTAGGGGTAGTTGTATTTATTAAGTTTATGTAATATACAATTGGTTGACTTGAGAGCATATTCAATAAAGATTATATATTTATATATACATAGACATTGGTAGAGAGAGAAAGTTTCCAACCACATGATAACACCTCTATATATCTACATGTTATAAATTGGTAAAAGTTCAATTGAGATATGATCCAATTAGAATAGAAGTTGTTTTAGTAGGAAACAATGAGCCAAAATTTTTTAAATATTCTTATCAATAAAAGAAAGAAGATGTTATAATGATTAAAGTAAACAAATGTTATGAGTATGTGTGTTTATTGATTAAGATGATGACAATTTTTAGTTAGATGATTTTAACATCTATATGTAGGAGGAAAAGGTTGTACCTTTAGCGACATATTATCTTAGTAAAAACAATAGTTGTTTGAGGTGGAAGACAATGTAGGAAGATTGGAAGAATATAGTATTTAATATTTCATTTACATATCAATGTGATAGAGATCAAAGAGACCTAATTTTCTTTCTATTTTCTTTAAAGAGAAATCATTGTTACTAGAATAGCAAAATATTACCTATACCACCCAATATTACAGATTATGGTGACTCGATCACTTTTCATTCACCTTTCTCTATGGAGAATACAAAGCATGGGAGACAGACACTAAAGAACACAGTCAAGGCAAACAATAGAGACAATTTGTGAGGGAAAATATGGCAATTAGGGCATAGAAGTACTGGATTTCCCGTGATGGAAGGAAGGATTTAGGAAAAATGTTGTAGTGTTAGGCTTCGTTTGGGACGACTTTCTTACTACTTTTTAAACAATTTTTTAGTACAAAAATTTTAATTTTGTACTAAAAAGCTGCATTTATGAAGCAATAAGAAAGCGGTTCCAAATGAAGCCTTAATCTCTTAGCACACATGCTTAAATCATGCATTATTATGTTTGTTAAGTATTCAATTAACTCCACAATGTTGCATTTATTAGGATAAAATAAGCATGAAGGTGGAATGATAGAGTGCTTATCTCTTATATTTGGGATAGGACTAATGAAGATGGTGAATTTGTAAAGCCTGCGAGTATTCTGTGATTTCAAAATGATTTCTTTGTTCATATTTTTCTCTGATTAGCATGCATGATATATGGCTGATGGATGTTGCGTTCTATTAATAAATGATGGTATATGTTTTGTAGTCTCGCTTGTTGTTGCTCAACATTTATGTGATTTATATATTCTACTTCAGTTTATGCTGTATTAGTGGTTATATACCTGCTTGTCTCGTGAAGCCTGCTGTGAAATGTGAAACTGTCTGCTTCTGAGCTTCCTGAGGGTCTTTTAGCTATAATTTGATCAAAAAAAAAAAAAAAAAAAAGGAAGAAGGTTTAACTATGTTAATTAATCCATTAATTACTGAGGTGTGACATAGAGTTGCCATCCAAGCATTGACATTCAAAGTTTCAATCATCTTGATTAGGCTTATTTTGATTATTCTAAGTTGGATTATATATATGAATTCTAATTTTTATTCATTTCTATTGAGTATTGTATGATGTTAAACTTATTCTATTCAAACCATATAGAGATCAGCATTGACATTCAAAGTTTTCTTGTTAGTCATCTGACATAAACTTCATAAGGCTATTTAATAGAGGTGCTTTTTTTTTTTATCATACATGCCTGAATAATTTAAGTCTATTTTTTGACCTTTTCATCTTCCTTCTGTCTTCTTATCTTGAGCTTCCTGAGGGTCTTTTAGCTATAATTTGATAAAAAAAAAAAGGAGGAAGAAGGTTTAACTATGTTAATTAATCCATTAATTACTGAGGTGTGACATAGAGTTGCCATGCAAGCATTGACATTCAAAGTTTCAATCATCTTGATTAGGCTTATTTTGATTATTCTAAGTTGGATTATATATATGAATTCTAATTTTTATTCATTTCTATTGAGTATTGTATGATGTTAAACTTATTCTATTCAAACCATATAGAGATCAGCATTGACATTCAAAGTTTTCTTGTTAGTCATCTGACATAAACTTCATAAGGCTATTTAATAGAGGTGCTTTTTTTTTATCATACATGCCTGAATAATTTAAGTCTATTTTTTGACCTTTTCATCTTCCTTTGATGTTACTTTCATCAACTTTGTCATATACTTATTCTTCAATTTAGTACTCTTAGACTTCGTTTGGGACAATTTTCATACTATTTTTTTAAGCAGCTTTTTAATACAAAAAGTTAAAAATTTTGTACTAAAAAATTACTTTAGAAAGCAGTAGGAAAGCTGTTCCAAACAAAACCATAGTATTCCCAGACATTTAGTTCAATATTTTTTTTTTCACTCTAAATTTGACTATTTTTGATTTTTTTTAATTGTCAACAGTACTCTTATCCACATAATATAGAAGTTTAAACTTGTAGTTTTAAATTTAAATTTAATTCTTCATGATATTCTCTTAATGCATAATTTTTTTTTTTTTTTTTTCATTTTTAATCACTCAATCTTAACTCTTAAATTTTTATTTGTATTTACATCCCAATTATTCTGTGATAGGAAAAAAAATCATTAAATCTAGCAAACGTACATAAAAATTTTTATAAGAATATTAAATAATAATTGTGAATATAATTTAATAAAATAATATATCATATAATCAGCCTTGCAACACTTCCTTAGATAACCAATTTTTTATGCATATTCTATAAAAAATAATATTGTGCAATAAAAATTAATATAATTATAGTTCCTAATATAATATAGCTAGATACATACAATGAAAGTAAACACAATTTAGTATCCAAACTAAACTTTATTTAAAAAAAACTAAACTTTATTTAAAATAAATATTAAAGTTATTATGAAATATCATATTTATATCCCTCTCCCTCTTTCACTACTTGCATGCCCATTTTGTTTCTCTCTTTCCCCTCCTTTGTATATTCTTGTTTGTTGCAAATGTTGGATTATTTGTTAGTATGTAGCATTAACATGTTTGTTTCTCCACATTCATAGATGTTGTTGCATGGAGCCTTACCATTTCTTGTAGTTTATTGCATGAGTAGTTGGATTAGGATATAGAAGGATTGGGCATCATGAGTTATGCCTTAGGAGGCTAATTCATAAATATAATTATACGCATTCCATAATCTAGCATTCTTTTCCTAATGAGCTTGGTCTTTTTATGCATCTCAATTGTTGAAGATTAGCATTCATGATATTCATAAAATATTAAATAATTAATATTCATATTACTAGGTATTCATATCCATATAAATATTTTATGATCTATTGTCCATCCACTATTATTTTGCCTATCTTTGATTGGGATGCATATAAAACTCCATGTTGTTCCTGCATTTTTTTAAAATTAAAATATTAAATGAATTAGTAAAAAATTAAAAAAATTCAAAAATAATTTTATACTTACCATCTTCCTATATTTTATCAACATAGAGGAGAGAAATGTCTATTCTTCTAAATTTGAAGTATTTGTCTACTCCCTCCCTCTCTCTCTCTCTCTATCCCCTTCTCATAGTCTAAAATTCCCCACTCTAGCACAACTCAACCTAAATGCTCACACTAATTGGCTTGAGTCTCTATCCTAATTTATTAATATAAATAAATTCATCATAGAGGAGCAATGATTCATGTTGCTCATGTATAGTCCCTCTTAATTTGTTTAAGATAATGGAGAATCATAAAATAAATATCTCATATATACTTCAAAAGTAATTCATTAGTATTTTAAAATAATAACTTTTTGGATTCAAAAAAGAATAAAATTTATTTTTGCAAATTTGTTAAATCACATATTATAAACTCTTGAAGTATCTTATAAGAAGGAACATTAAAATTGCTCTTAATTTAAGAAATCTCTAATCATGTGTCTCATATTGAAATGAGTTAAAACTTGTATGATTGAACTTAATTAAATATGAAAGATATAAATATGTACAATCACAACTAATTGTAAAGTCAATCATATTTAATTATTGTGTGCCATAATTAGGCTCAATATAATATTTTTGCTCATGTGTGGTAAGTAGGTTTACACTACTATATTGCAGCGCTAATTTAGGTGTATGTTCATAATGGTTATATGAGGGGTACTAAGAGGAGTCAAAGTACTTATATTATTCAAAGAATAAGATGTTAAGTAGTAGTAGCCTAACTGTATATAGGAATGATGGTATATTAATGGTCTTAATTATGTAGAGTGAATATGGATGAAATGTAGTGGTTTCTGCAATCAGTGAGGATGGGTATACCAGTGTATTGAGAAATGGATGTCTGATATGTGGTATAATTGAGGTGATAATGGTTGGAGAAGTGGAGGTTGTGGTGGGTATAATGGAGGCCATATGTACTTGATTTTTTTATGTTGCCTTAAACATATAAATTTAATGGATTTACCTTGTGTACACCTCTTCTATCATTACATACGTAATTTTTTTTGAAAAAAAAAAGTTAATTTATATTAAAAAGATTAA